CATTTTATCATAGTAGTTTAATTGTGATTCGAATAGAACACATCTGATATAGGGGGAAAATATACGAGACATTACGAACATAGCCGAAAATATCCGAAAGATTTCGAATATAGCCGAAAATATCCGAAAGATTTCGAATATAGACGAAAATAATCCAATGTAGTCATGAAGTCAGCCATGTTTATTCTACATATATTTTATAATATTATGATAATACACAAGAAACAGACCATCTAATAATTCTTCTGGACTGGCTGCCAAACGAGTGCATTTCAGTTTTGAAACTAGGATTAAGCAAAAATCATTTGAAGAAAAAAATTAAGCTTCTCAAAAATGCTTATGCTTAGAATAAGATCACATTCGACGATAAAATTCAGTCGGAGTTTCATTCTTATTTGCACCGTTACACGGCGAGAAATTTTGAAGTAAGAGTCTGATGCATTGGGGAGACATAAAAAGTTATGGTCACACAAAGTTGATTAAAATTGATAATTGTTTAAATAGTACCGTATAAATACAGTTGCTGAAGAACCATTTGATACCAGGCAAGATTTCTAAGTATGACGTAAACTCTTATCAGAAATCGCGTGTAGTACAACTGAGTCTGGCTGAGGAAAGTGTCACTATATTTGAAGAATAGCCAACCCAGAGTAGAATCTTTTGAACAGGGGTAGAGTTTTATCCCTTGTTTCCTATTTAGGATTAGGTTTCCGGTCCCTTCTGAAGTCTATTTCAACTCGTTACTTCTAACATCTCAGCCTGAAGTCTGAAATTAAATTTAGTAATTATTTATTTATATCTTTCTCCTTAATAGGAGTAAATAAGTTCGCCTATCGCCCTGTTTAAACGGTCTTTTGAAAAGGAGTAATGGTTTGAGTTTCCGGTTCCTTCTAAAGTCTTTGCATTCTCTTTCACTCCCAGCAGCCCCTTGTGTCTTAGTGACATTATCGTCTTGCTTGGGTGTGAATTGATTAAGAAAAAGCTCAGAGTAGGGATTTAAATCTCATCAAGCAAATGTGGACAGAAATAAAGAAGAAAAATTAGTGAGAAGGATCCACTCAATCTTGGAGATTCGTGTGAGCCACAGAAAAATGGTGAAAGATTTGTATGCATCCCTTTCCTAGGCCCATTGAAGCCCTTATTCGCGTTAATGGAAGCCGCACGAATATACAGTAACATTCTGGAATTAACATTATGTAATAAATTTTTTATTATAGTCATTTTTCAGTTTTAATCCATTATATCTGGCTTAGTTTATGTGAGGTGGACGAAAACTTTTGCAACGCGCTATTCTGGGGGATCGTTTCACCTTTTTCACTCTCATTCAACCTGCTACAAAAAAAAAATAAAAATAAATAAATAAAAAAAGTGGTACTTAGGTATGGAAACGATTCCAAGGAAGCCAATGTTTCTTTTGTATAAAACGCATCGTCTCGGAAGATAACAATTATTAAACATTTGCAATAGTTTAATGGAGACCGAAAACTTTTTATTAGTACAATAAAGACCTTGGAATATCTAAATAGTTAAGCAAGAATAATAATTTCAATAAAAAAAAAACTACAAGAGATTAAACAAAAATACACTATTTGCATTCGAACTACTGTCCATATCTCTGTTGTTATCGCAACGTTTCGACATTTGTGACCTCCAGCCTCCATCATGTGTATGAAGATCCGGGTAACCTACAGGAAATTTTGCACTGAACACATTGTGGAACCATTATTTAGTCTCATTGCCCATGGCTAAGGGTATTTGGTTTAGATCTTATTGTAGTACTGCTCAATTATTGTGCACACTGCCGAGATCAAGGACTGAACTCACACTTACTAGGTTGCTGAGTTCACCAACCAATGCTTTAAACTGTAGGGCAGATTCAGACAGATAAAAATGCACTAATAAGCTGGGAAACCTCTTATTAATCAGTGAATTTCAAGCCTCTCGTTACTAAAATCTCAACTTAGTCAAGTGATAGTTTTATTTCCAATTGGAGTAAAATCTAATCTTTCTTTAAGTACTACTTTACTATTTATTTTTTAGTTAAAATAATTTATTATTATTATTTTTACTTTTAACTACTAACAGCATAGTATCTGTCGAAAAAGGTTCTGTTCTTTCATGACGGCCATACAAATCGAAAATACAAAATACTCACACCTAAGTCAAATCCGGGTTCGATTCTCTGTAGTGAATGCGCACTGCTGATGAGTCCCGAAACAGGACGAAACGACCGTCCAGGGATTTCTGCATTCTGCTGAGGATTCTTCTAGACTCGTTAAATTATATATGTGTTGAGGAGTTCTCCCCTTTTTACACAAATGGACTCACCCAGTATATACATATACTACAGCTACGTGAAGACCAGAGAGAGCAGGAGTCGAGTCGAGATGAGACGAGAGGAGAGTGACAGAGTAAAAGGTTGTAGGTAACCGGAAGAGTGAGGGTGAGGTAACAGCGTTGTAGGAGTCACAGTGAGCAAGCACGTAGACTCAGTAAGAAGTCATACAATGATACTTCAATACCAAAGAGTGTATATATATTTTGCTACTAACCCGTATTCCTGGAACTACTAACCTGCTTTACCAGTTTGTATTATTACGTTAATACATTATTTTCATATATTCATTCCTGGAGTTTATTTATTGGTACCGGATTTCAACCTGGTATCCACAACAATATCTAAATACATCAACCATGTTTGTATCACTTGAATAGGCATTTACTTAGAGAGTTAAACAACGAGTCAGTAACAGTTAAGATTTTTACATTTATTTGGATGGTTAAACAACGAGTCAGTAACTGTTAAGATTTTTACATTTATTTGGATGGTTAAACAACGAGTCAGTAACTGTTAAGATTTTTGCATTTATTTGGATGGTTAAAGAACGAGTCAGTAACTGTTAAGATTTTTACATTTATTTGGATGGTTAAACAACGAGTCAGTAACTGTTAAGATTTTTACATTTATTTGGATGGTTAAACAACCAGTCAGTAACTGTTAAGATTTTTATATTTATTTGGATGGTTAAACAACGAGTCAGTAACTGTTAAGATTTTTATATTTATTTGGATAGTTAAACAACGATTCAGTAACTGTTAAGATTTTTATATTTATTTGGATGGTTAAACAACGATTCAGTAACTGTTAAGATTTTTATATTTATTTGGATGGTTAAACAACGATTCAGTAACTGTTAAGATTTTTATATTTATTTGGATGGTTAAACAACGAGTCAGTAACTGTTAAGATTTTGGTTTCATATGTTCAGTAATGTTATGTCACCACATTTTATCCTAAAAACGATTTAGTAAAAAGCTTTTTTTTTCTTTTTTTGCAATCAAAATGAAATAAATATCAGTAGTTTTAATTTTTCTTTGTATTTTGCAGATGCCCAGTTTTGGAATTTTATTTATAAAAGCTGCGACATCCCCAAGTGGTGCAAACGAGAATTAACCTGTTGGGTTAAATTCATATCATTTGACCAATTCTAAGAGAATCATTCTTGTCACCAAATCCTATTTGAATTCTCCTTGGACCAGTTAATAGCAATTATTATGGACTAGAATGATCCGTGAAAATTTCACGGTTTTCCGATTTCAATTTTCTGATGAATCTTAATTCTTCAGCTAATGGTTGAATAAGCTCATGGTGAGTTCTGTGCAATATAATATCCGTAGAAAGTCCTCTATTACATCGCTGAACGTTTGAGCTTAACAATTTTAACAAAATATTGCAATAACGATAAATATGAGTGCTGGTTGTTATTTTAAGTAGCAATGGAGTATACATGAAAAGATTTGAAATTTACTTTTTCCATTTCACTAAAAGAAAGAAACAGAGAGAGAGAGAGAGAGAGAGAGAGAGAGAGAGAGAGAGAGAGAGAAATAAATAAAGAAAGGGAGAAAAGAAGACAGAAAAAAAGAAATAGAAAAACGAAGAAAGAAAGAAGCAAGAAAGAAAGAGCGAAAGAAAAACGTAAAACGCTTCTTTCTTTTTCTCACTAAAACCAAGTAGCGTCTCTGATATGTCTTTGCCGTATATCCGCACCATCAAAACTGTATAGCCCATAATTTATTAGGCATTGGCAAGGCGTAAAGATCGTGCTAACTAAGTGAGGGAAAAGCAGGACTATAAAAAGATGGTTTGCGTCACCGGCTCCTGCCGTTTTCTCCTTCGTTTCTTTCCCCTTGTCTCTTTCCACATACGTGCCATTCACAATTTACTTGACACTTATCATTTTTTTTATTTTAAAGTAATTTTGTTCGATACTCATGTTTAGGACAACCATTATTAGAGATTCCGTTTTGTTTCATAGGTGTTCTTTCCCCACCCATATCCACGTGAATGGTTGAAGAACGTCATTCATTCATAAGACTTGTTGAATTTTCGTGGAACATGTAAAATGGTATAAAATATAATAAAGATAAAAAACTGTATATATTCTAAACCCTAACGAATGACATTTTACTTACATAATTATATATATTCTTATATTGATATCTCTATATGAACAGAAGAAAAAATATATCATACACACACACGCACACACACACAGACACAACCACAAAACACACCGCACACACATCCAAATACAAATGAGCAAAGATTAAGAAGCCATTAAAATTTGGGGTTATGACGTGAGAGAGATGGATGAAAAGGATTATGCTAAACACAAATAGCTTCGTCTCTAGGATTTTCGTAAGGGTTGTAGTTTTTCTCTGTTTCTACGTTCTGTTAGACGCCACAAGGTATTCGGATTATTTCGTACCCAGAAACAAGTTAATTGTATCACTTTTAACAGCCATAAAGCTGCATTGGACGTGCATATTTTTTATTCGTTCATTTATTCGTCCTTTCTTTCTTTTCTTCTGTGTTTTTTTTTTATCTTTTTTAAATCTCAAGATTTTCTTTTGACGTTTTTAATTAAGCTTCCTAATTACTCGCATTTTCTTTTTTTTTTCTTTTTAATTTTTTCTTTCTTTCTTCGTTTCTTCTATTTCCTTTTTTTTTCTATCTTTCTCTCCGTTACTTTCTTTATTACTTTCTTTCTGTCTTTCTCTCTGTTTCTTCTTTCTTTATTACTTTCTTTCTTTCTTTGTCTCTTCTATTTTTTCTTTCTTTCTTTCTTTCTTTCTTTTTTCTTTCTTTCTTTCTTTCTTTCTTTTTATATTTCTCGTTTTTTTTTCTTTCTTTTTCCTTTTCCTTTTTATATTTCCTTTCTTTCTTTCTTTCTTTCTTTTTTTTTTCTTTCTTTCTTTCTTTTCGTCTCTCTTTTCTTTCTTTTTTCATTTCTCTTTCTTTTCTTTCTTTCTTTTCTTTCTTTCTTTTCTTTCTTTTTTTTCTTTCTTTTTTTCGTTCTTTTTTATTTCTTTTCCTAAAGCTCTGAATTATTTTATCGTATATTCTTCTTCGATTTCTTTTTGTTTCTAAATTTTTATTTTTTTTTTTTTTTACTTTCTTTTTTTCTTTCTTTCTTTCTTTTACCTTTTTTTTTCTTTTTTTTCTTCGTCTCTTCTATTTTTCTTTCTTTTTCATTCTTTCTTTCTTTCTTTCTTTCTTTCTTTCATTCATTCATTCTTTCTTTCTTTCTTTCTTTTTCTTTTTTTTTCTTCAATTTTCTTTTTTTATTTTTTTTTTTCTTTCTTTCTTTCTTTCTTTCTTTCTTTCTTTCTTTCTTTTCTTTCTTTTTCGATGAGAATACTCTTTTTACGTTCTTTTTTGCTCTTTTCCTAAAGCTCTGAATTATTTTATTATATTCTTCTCTTCGATTTCTTTTTGTTCAATTCTAAATTTTTTTTTTTTTCTTTTCTTTCTTTCTTTCTTTCTTTCTTTTACCTTTTTTCTTTCTTTATTTCTTCGTCTCTTCTATTTTTCTTTCTTTCATTCATTCTTTCTTTCTTTCTTTCTTTCTTTCTTTCATTCATTCATTCTTTCTTTCTTTCTTTCTTTCTTTCTTTCTTTTCGTCTCTCCTATTTCTTTCTTTTTGCATTTCTCTTTCTTTCTTTCTTTCTTTCTTTCTTTCTTTCTTTCTTTCTTTTTCGATGAGAATACTCTTTTTACGTTCTTTTTTGCTCTTTTCCTAAGGCTCTGAATTATTTTATCGTATATTCTTCTCTTCGATTTCTTTTTGTTCAATTCTAAATTTTTATTTTTTTTTGGAGGGGGGTACACTTTCTTTCTTTCTTTCTTTCTTTCTTTCTTCTTTTACCTTTTTTCTTTCTTTATTTCTTCGTCTCTTCTATTTTTCTTTCTTTCATTCATTCTTTCTTTCTTTCTTTCATTCATTCATTCATTCATTCATTCATTCATTCTTTCTTTCTTTCTTTCTTTCTTTCTTTCTTTCTTCTATTTATTTATTCATTATGGAACTTCAACCCAAACAACAAACGTTACAAAATTACACCCAACCTAAGAGAATGGCATCATGCTCTCAGGAAGAAGTCCTCTTATCAAGAAATAAAATAGGACACACCTATATCCCTCACTCATTTCTATTAAAGATGAACATTCTCTTGAATGCAGAATGTCAGGGGGCATATACTGTAAAACATATTTTAGCTGACTGTATTAACCTTTCTCCTATACGGCAACGATCTTATGGCTTGACTAGTCGAGAGGACCTTTTCCAGAAGATAAAAGTAGAGATTATCTAATCATAGTCGAAGGATATTTGTCTATACAAAAAAATATAGCACTCTTCTAGAGCCATGGAACCAATGACCCAAAAGATTGTTTAAAAGCCATATATTTCAAGAGAAGATGTTTTCAACATTAAATAACCTACACAGCTGATATGCAGTTTAAACAGAAAAATCAGCCAGTCATTTTTTTCTTTCTTATCCGTATTTAATTACATTTTTTGTTATTGTCTCAAATGTCCAAAATTTGCTATCTTTGCTTGCATTTGTGATCAAACTACACGTTAAAACTTATTGACCTCTCAGCATGCGGTGACATGTACAATATGCGTCTTATGTTTAAACCTTTGAGCTCTGACCAACGCTTTACCGGTGGTAGAGAAAAATGACTTAATGTCCAGTCTCCGGTTTAACAGTGGTAGAGAAAAATGACTTATGGTCCAGTCACCGGTTTAACAGTGGTAGAGAAAAAATGACTTAATGCCCAACTACCGGTTGAACGGTGGGTAAACACTTGTAACTATTTTTATATCTACCGTAAAACATTACAAACCAATTATTTCCGAATTTTGAGTCATGGGGTTCAGATGGGTGAAAATTGTTCAGGAATGCAGCGCTCAGAGAGTTAATGGATGTACAGGGTATTTTTCTTTTAATTTGAAAGCATGCACAGACGACACTATTTACATTATTCGGACTACTGTCCCCATCTTTGTTGCTATATATGACATTTTGGCCGATGTACGCTCCGGCCTTCTTCAGGTGGTTGGAATGTCGAACTGAACCCTTCATTTCGCTCGCTGTGGTAGACTGTTCTAGTTCCACGTGCCATGTCTAATGGATGTTAGTTTTCAGTTATCTCCTGTTAATTCCCTTCTCCAAGTTCTCCAGCGTCTTAGCCAGGTATTGAACTCACAACTCTTTGGGACCTGTCACTGGATCTAACCAACGCCTTTATCCACTGTGCACAGACGAATCAACTTACATATATTTTGATATATGTTGGCACAAATATCACCTTTGTTTCTGCTTTTTTTTCATTTCTTTTTCTTTCTTTCTTTCTTTCTTTCTTTCTTTCTTTCTTTGGACACGCAAACATCGCCATTACTTTCCAAATGTCAAGGTTGTCATCATATAATTTCTCGGTTGCTTTTCCTATCAACTCGCGTGGACACCACCCCCACCTCCAAGTCCCTTACTTCTTTATATCGTGATTTCATATTCTAATCTCAATTTGTAAATGTTATCACGAATTAAGACATTTAAGTAGATGCTCTACACCCCCTCGACTACTCATTCTCGTACACGCATAGACATGTGTACATAACCCAAAAAAACCCCTCTCTCTCTCTCAAATACATACGCACACAGGTAGAAACATGTACCCAAAAATGCTTAACATACAAGGGGGTGCTGAAAAGTTCTTGTCCTGATCCACTATCTAAAATCTGACCAAATGACTAAACATTATTTTTTTCTTCTTTTTTTATTCAGACTGAGAAGCTTTCGCCAACTACTTATACACATACAGAACACTTTAAATAAAGCATAGTGCCGCTCAGAATATTCGTCATAGAAATAGCAAGTTTATCGCTTCTATGCCTATGATAAATAGTCTGACGAGCCATATTCATTAGTTCCAGCACTTTAGACTATTACAGACAAGACTCGTTGAGCGTTACTGAATGACGTGAGTGGTAAGAGGGGAGAGTAGAAAGATTATGAGGGTGTGGATAAAGATTGCCCCTTGAATTGTAGACGTTACGATTATAGTATTCAGGGAAGTATTTGTCAGTTTTTCTGACAACCTATTGGTGCCGGACCAGAAGTTGTTTGGCATAAAACTGAGCCGAAATCAGACGACCGTGGACCTCAGAAGTTTTTGTGTTCTTGCTGATTGACATATAACTGGTCTTGAACAGAAAAAAAAGAATTTCCCTTTAAATACTTAGGTTCGGTCGTCAACATAAAATAGGGATACAAAGAAAAAGAATTCTTATGGTAAGTAAAAGATAAATATTTATATTATTCATCTAAATATAAAGCTTTATAGACTAATATAATACACACACACACACACATATATATATATATATATATATATATATATATATATATATATACATATATATATATATATATATATATATATATATATATATCGTGGTTTCCTACTTGAAGAAACGTTACTTTTAACGTTGAAACAAGATGTACAGTTTTGTAGTGGGTATGTACATTTTCTAATGTAACAGTGAATTATATATATATATATATATATATATATATATATATATATATATATATATATATATATTTTATTTTTACATATAGACAAAAGATTTTACTACCAAGATGCAACTTCGTTTCAGTGCATTTAAATTGCACTTCGACTGGTGAGAACATAAATGGTTATCCAGTCGAAGTGCAATTTTAAATGCACGGAAACGAAGTTGCATCTTTGTAGCGAGTAAAATGTTTTTGTCTATATGAAAAAAATATAATAAAGAATTATTGTTCCACTATCGTTATTGGGACATCTTTTGAATTAATGTTGTGAACGTTAGAATTTATATATTATTTTCGTTCTCATTACATTCGGATATCTATCTATCTATCTATCTATCTATCTATATATATATATATATATATATATATATATACACCGGGTGAACAGCAAAATTGTCCATATTATGTAACAGCATAATTATCCACCCCACAAAATGTCTAATATTTAAAAAAACACTAAACTAATGGTGTTTTGTTTTTCCAGGTTTTCAGATAAGACGTTTAGCCATCTTGACACCATTTGTCGTAAGAATCACTGTCAAACTCTTTGAATTATTCAGCTAAAAAGAGTGAAGGTTAAAATTGTTTTGTCTCAGACACACTGTCTTCCCAAATGATCAATGGTGAGAGGAAAAAGATCATTCATACCTTCAGTAATTGTGCCAACATTCATAATCTGGCTTCCATCCTCAAGAGAACGGTGAATAAGTTTAAAAAAGAGTAAACAGTAAAGAGGAAAACTGGATCAGTGGGTCACAACCGGAAGAGGGATCATCATTTCTACTTAGAGCTAAAGAGATCAATTAGGAAAGATCCAACTCAACTCATAAGACGTTTGGCAAATGAGAGAGGTGTTTCAGCTATGACAGTCTTAGCAGTGAAAAAAAAACATGAAAATGAGACTGTACGTGAAACCAGGGAGGCACATTATTACTTCAGGACAGAAATTTAGGTTAGAAAGGGTGGAATTTATCCTGATATATATATATAAATATATATATTATAATGATCCTGAAATAATGTATATATATATATTTGAACTTAATTTCAATCCTTCATGAGCTTCTGATCCTTAGCTATGATTAATTAATGATGAACATGTCATTTTCGTTTATGATTGATTTCATCACGATTCTTCTGTTAAGCTTGGAGAGTAATTATACATTCTTACTACGCAGAGTCCAATAGTGTTATAAAAACATCAGAGAATTCCAGTAAGATATCTTTAATCATTTCTAAGATACATTGACCCAGAGCTAAATTTAACAATTGGGCAATTCTGCTGTTACACCCGGTATTATTTATATTATTATAGTATTATTTATATATGCGTTCACGCGCACGTGCGAGCGTGTGCTTGTGTGAGTGTGTAAAAGAAATGATAGAAAAGAAGACCTTATTTATGCGAACGCGTTTCGTTACTTGACGAACTTATTCAAAGGCAAATGTATAA